AATCCACATCAAGAGACAGGATCTATGTCACACTCCCAAACCAGCTGTAGTATAGGCCTTCCCTTTCTCTATTCCCAATTTAGGTTCTCTCTCCCTTATCTTTTATGGGTTATATTTTATAAAGTCTGAATTAACATTTATTGCGACATAATATTATATACCCCTTCATCTCAAGACTGTGCAGTCTTGTCCATTTTATTTCTGATCCTGGAGGAGCCACAGAGCTCTGAGTAGTGTCTCTGGTGCCGGGCCACCAGAAGAACTCTGCTATAGACAGAGGGTCCTAAATGTATCGCCGCCCCCCGTTCTAGGAGCCTCTGACTATCCAGGCCCAGAAGCAGGAGGAAAGCTTGTTTGATGTGACCCAAGGACAAACACCCTGCATCAAGGACAGAGCTGATGCTCAGCCTCCTTACTCTCCCACTCCTGATACTACCTTCGCCCCCAAAGGCCCTCGGCTCTATCCGTGCAAAGGTAAACACTTCACATGGAGAGCTGTGATTATCTACTACAGGGTATCAATTTCTTCAATCACGTTAAGACTGGGGCTACAATATACTTTCGCCAACACTAATTTTTGTGAATTTGACTTAGAACATCAAATCTCCTCTTGTTATGTATGCATCATGGTCTCATCTGCCTTTTGTTTCCTGACCCCACTGAACTCAAAAGGCCATAACTCCAGGGGATGAAAAGTCATTTGTTCATCGACAGTTACCTTGTTCACTCTTATTAACTGACCATTGACTGGGGCCCTCCAACAGCTTTGTCTGTGACACTGAAATGTCATCTTAAACCTCAATAAACAGGTGGTCATCTATTTACGGGCGATAACTAAAACACTTCAAAAGTAAACTCGACCAGATTGAAATCTCCTCCTTGGAAAGAAGCCTCACTGATGCCAGGGGCTTCAGAGTTCTTGAGCAGTCAACACATGCCTTCTGACTGAGTCATATTTGATCCATTTCTTTAGGAAAAACAAAATGATACCTTTTAAGAAGTTCATATTAAAAAGAAATTTAGGAGACTAATGCCCAAAACCAACACCAATAGTATTTTTCACTGTAATGCCTCCCCTCTACCACCCCCAACCCCTTGTTTTAACTTCAGACGGAAGTGGGTAATCACAGACATCCAGGCAGGAGACCATGCGAATCAAACTCTGCCACTGCCTTTGGCTCTTTGGGCCTCAGTGTACCCTGTATGGAAAACAGGGAGAAGGACACTACGGTTTCTGATGAGAAAGCTCTAGGTCTCTTCTTTTGCCCCAGGAAAAGACAGAAGAACAGATCAGGTAAATTGAGGGCTCAGTCAGGCCGGTGTAAGAAGTCAAGGAACAGCGGGCTGGAGCTGGGAAGGTCCTGAGAGCTCTTCCCAGTGGTACTGCAAGTCAGTCCTCTTTTGAAGACTCAGGAGTCATTGCAAAGGACTCTTCCAGATTCTGATCCTGCCTCTTAAATAAGCTGTTTACCAGTATCTGTAAACAGTCAACCTTCCGTAACACAAAAAGCCAACTTTCCTGCCCACACTGCAGGGGTGCCTTGACCAGGCAGCGTTTCCAGAGACACTCCTTGGGCAACTGACAGCATTTCAAGCCACGTCTGACAGGATACAATGTTCCTTGTAGCTTGGGGGTCATGGGGAGCTGGCATTTTAAGCTCCTTCTGCAAATGAGAGACAGAGGCAAGCAGGAGGGTTTTTGTTGGGGTTTGATGTGCGACACACACCACTTGCCCAAAACAGCCCTCATCATTCACTGACATTTCATGGCTTGTCTCCAGTCTCAGGCTGGAGGATCAGACAGGGTACTCTGAGCTGGAGGGAATAATTTGAGCAGCACAAACCAGATCTTCACAAAGAGAAAATCATTCCAAGGAGACTCTAACTCTCTGCCAGCGCCCCAGGCTGGGTGTTCAGCTAAGCAACTTGGCCCAGGGTGGGGATGGCTTATTTTTCTCAATCACTAAGCTCTCTCCAACCCATTCAGTCAAATCTCAGATGAGTTACACAGACCAGAATCTTGAGGTTCCCTCTCAGCCTGAGTCCTCGGCAGCCCTTTCTTGTCCATTATATTATTGAGCACCCACTTTACGCTGTCCCGTGCCTGGTTAAGGTGGTACCTGGCATTGTTTCTGCCTTTAGGCTCTCACGTCCTTAAGGCAGACACGGACAAGAAAGCACTTACAATAACACGTGCCCCACAAGTCTGCCTGGCATTGCCCAGCTAACTAGCCACTTTCCAGCTCCGGCTAAGGATCTCTTCTCAGACTTGTCTCGACATCCTCCCTGTCCCTCCTTCATCTCATGTACCTCTCCCTCACCATTAGAGCCAAACGGGCATCCTCTCAGTTCTTCAAACTCATCGTCCTGCCAGAGAACCTTGCCCCATGCCGTTATCTCTATCTGGAACATTCTACCCTCCCACTCTCAGTTTTAAGGACACCTTGGAGAGGGCTCCCCTCACCTTCCCTACAGAGCAGGCCTCCCACTCTAGCTCCCAGCGCCATGCTCATTTCCTTTTCAACACTAACCCAAACTGGAAATCACATACTTGTTCGGTGACTTATTTACGTGTGTCTCGCCTACCACACTGTAACCTCCAATGGTGTCTGTTTTCTTTCCACTGCCGCTCGCCGTGTTCTGTGTAGAACAAGGGTAAGTGTTCGCTACACAGCTGCTGAACAAATGAATGAAGTATTTCTCTCTGATAAGTAATTATGGAGTAGAAAGGCGACAGTCTCTAAAGGGCTTTGTTAGTTAAGAAAGAGTCTGAGCTTAGTTCCAGTGGCAAGAGGAAAGCTATCCGGGCATTTTAGGAGGGAGAGACACAGGAACAGACTTTTATTACAGAATTACGCCCGCCTTCTGTCACGTGGAAATGGACTGTGGAGCAGGCGAAAGGGCAGACTGGGGATACAGAGATCTGTTAGGAGGAGCTTATGAAAACTGAAGTCCTTGCTCACCTGTGTAGTCTGTGGACATCACCTGGGACTTGTTAGAAATGCAGAATCTCAGGTCCATTGTCAGACCTGCTACATCTGCCTTTTAACAGAATTTCCAGGCAACTGTGCAGACACCTAGGAACTAGGCTTTAAGTGAAAGGCAAGGATGGCCTGAGCTGCCTTTGGGAGTCGAGGACGGAACTGATTCACCAATGCCTCCTATAAATCCACTATTCCAGACATATTCGAGCGATTGGAAGCAAGCCCTGTTACTAAGAACTTTTTCCAACTGCAATTCCATCACAGGGAGGTCAGGGAGAGTAGGGGAAAGGGACAGGGAGAAGGGAGCTGCTGAGCAGAGTGGGGCTGGGCTTTTTGCCAGGGTGTAAGGCTGTGGCCTTGGGCAGAGTAGCCACAACTAACGGGGTAGGTTGGGAGGTAAGGATTACTGACTCTGGCCATGGAGAAAAGCTGACTTTTTTTCAATTTCCACTCTAAGTTTCGCCAGCCCCTGCACAGAGCCTGCACCTAAGAAGGGCTCAAATGATACTTTTTGAAAGCACAAAGAAACTGATCCAGCAGTAATTATGATATTGAGGTCCTGGGTACAAGCGAGACATACCTTCTGGCTGCCTGCTTTGTTCAATACACTACTCCCTTTTGTTAGAAAAAGGTGAAAATCTGAGCGGGTTAAACTCTATTTTCAGGGAATGAAATATATGACCTGTGCAACACAAAATCAGTAGGAAAGCATGGCAGAGCCTCACCATACCCCGAATAAGCCTCTGAGGGCAGCAGGCAGCGAAGGTGCTCCCAGGCCTGTGGAATCTCCGGGTGAATGACGGTGCGGTGACGGATCACAGAGAAGAGAAGCTGTCGGCTGTGTGTGCAGTGGGGCAGGGAAGGAGAGGGGATCCAGCAGGAAGGCCTGAGTCCCTGAGCCCGAGAACCACATGGTAGTGTGGCCAGAGGTGACATCTCCTATAGCAACCGCAGACTCCGTTATCCAAGTAAACCATAGATAGGAAAACAGGAGGACAAAGGAAAGTGGTGTCGCCGGGGCTGGAGGAGAGGAGAGGGCCAGAGCCCCGCTCCCTGCCCGCCACCTTTGTCTCACAGAAAACTCGAGACTCCCACACGCCAGCTCCTTCCCGCCCGGCACGGTGTTGGGTGCTAAGGGGGAGCTGATTTCTACTTGTTGAGTATGACAATGAAACAGCAAACTCTGGTCAAGTCTCTGGTTTCCCTTTCCTTCATTCATTATGCCAGTAAGAAGCGATATACCCGATGGGTACACACAAATGGACAACTTTATCCTGAAAAGAGTGTTTGAAGTTCCAAGAACAAATTATCACCTCCTCCCTCCTTTCTCCACGCTGATGACTCCTGCCTCCCCGCCTGTAAATCTTATTACTACAACCCAGACAAAATGCCCCTCCTCTGTGAGACTTTTCCTGTCCTTCCCATATGGATGAATAGACCCACTTGATCCCTAGTCCCCTCTTCTATGAAGCCATTTTCTTTTCATAGGTTTGAGTTAAAATGACCTGGCACCATACTTGCACCCCCATGAGACTGTAAGACCTTGAGGCCCCCTGTAGGCCCAGGGACCGGCGCAGTGCTAGCATGCTAGACGTACAGCAAATGTAGCTGGAACGCGTGCTGACATCACACTCCTTCCTTCGCCACATTGCCGCAAGGCAGCATCCTGGGCCCCCTCACACCTTGCTCCCCATTAGCCGAGCTGTGTGACGCACATCTTTGGAACAGCCTGCTACCTCACCTTCTCCAGGAAGCTCTCCTAGATTAACTTCAGGGTCACATGCCACTCTCAGACTCACCCTCTCCCCTCAGCCCTTGATCACTCCAGGACATGGGAGGTAATATTTTATCTCGCTTGTCTCTTTGGTGAGAGAGTCTGCTCATGTGGCAGCTTCTCCAGGGCAAGGCCCAAAGCCCATCGAGATTCACACAGCTGTGCCCGTTCGGGCACTGAGACTTGTCAGAATGAGCAGACATCGAGTATTGTTGATGACAAAGAAGACAAAGGTGACTGACCTTGGATGTGTAGGTGTGGCCATCGGAGCCGCAGACCATGGCTGACTGTGCCACAGGGCAGGGCTTGCACTTGACCAGATTCGAAGGTCCAACCCAGTGTTTGTGGGCCACATTCCCCTTCTTTTGCCTGAGATTGGAAAAAGAGGAAATAAGTTAACTAAAGCTCCAGTCCTCAAGGGGCTCTTCCCCAGATTACCTGGGCAGAGGCCAAATAAACGAAAGGGCTGGTCGAAGAGCCAGCAGTCCCATTTGTTCCGACTCACTAGAGGGAGCAGGACCATTCCAAAAGCCAGGTCCCATCCTCCAGACAGACCGAGGAAAGTGATGTGGCTGTTAAAAATGTTGTAAAACATCACTTCTTGACGTGACAAGACATGCATGATGCATTAAAAAACGACAAAGGGGTGTGTCTCCATCCACTTACCCAGCCCCCCGCCACCCCGTGCAGGGCGTGACATATCCCAGGTGCCCAGACACAGCACCCAGAGCCTCAGGCTCCTTCCGGGCTGACCAGCAGCCTTCCAAGTGGATGGCGCACCGATGACTCAGCAAGCATTTTAGATAGAAACGCATCTCCAAACACAACCGAATGACTTTATCACAGCTGTGGAAAACGATCTCTGGATACATTTTAAAGCAATTTCAGTCCAGCTTCCAATTTGCCATTTGATAGAGGCTCTGAGGTGATGTCACTTTCAACTGCTAAAATAATCAGAATTCTACTCTTTTATTTCAGTTCCTGTTCCTCCCCATCCTAACCTTTGTCATAATGATAAATGGTACTATTAGGATGCCTTATGTCCACGGAAGAAACCCCATCCCCATATCACAAACCACTGAAAGAAAGGCCCGCAGTTACTGCCACCCTTTCTCTTAGTCGAAATTGCTCTCCTAACAAACCACTGGGAGTGACTCTCACGGCCATGGGGCTGTGCTCCCCAGAGAAGACAAGTTCCTCTAGCCTGCCCATCAATCAGGCAATCACTGCACCTGTGAATTACTGCATAGGCAGTCCTGCATGGTGGTTAATGTCTGGGCTCTGTAGTCAGAAAATGTAAGCTCAAATCTCAACTCTGCCACTCCCCCACGGTGTGATCTTGGCAGGATTGTTAATCCTGTAAGTCTCAGTTTCCTCATCTGTAAAATGGGGAAAATAGAACCTACTTCAAGTGAATGCTATGAGAATTAAATGAGCTGAGGTGTGTAAAGTACTCAGTAGAATGCCTGGAAAATAGGAAGCAATAAAAATGGTAGCTGTTGTTATAATTATTATTTGCCTCAATAAATGGGGGTGTAGAGGATGAAATTACCATTCCACAGAAAGGTAACTTAATTGAAGGCCTTAAGTTTGGAATGGCACTTAATTCTCCAGAAGAATTCAAGGGGCCACAAGAGGGAAATCTTTTCTACTGGGTATGGAATAAACATTTAGCTCTACAGGGGTTAGAATTACTTCTAAAAAAAGAAAAGGAAGAGCACCTGCCAGCTTGGTTCTGATCCTACCTTAAACCTGCCCCAGTGATTTGGAGTGGCGGTCGTGGGGAGAGGGGGCGGGGTGTGCAGTAAGAGGAGGAAGGTATGTTTGGGGAACTATCTTTGATGATGGCATCCAGAAAGATCATGCACCCACACAACACAATCTTTGGGACCCCTGGGGATCCCAGGCTGGGCGGGCCATAGGGCTGAACCTATCTGACCAATAAACCAGAAAAGGAAGTCCTACCTGGGTCCCCTGACATCATCTAATCCAGATTTTTCATTTTACTAATGAGGGAAACTAAAGCCCAAACTGGGGAAAAGCCTCTCCCGAAGTCACGAAGACGGTGACTAGCTAGGCCTGGGATGGCCTCCGCATAGCTGCAGCGTGGCCTGGGATGGGTCTCTCTTCTTCGGCCCATCTCAGTCCCACCTAGATTGCTAGCTTGAAAATTCTCTGCGGTCACCTACATGTTTATCATTGGTACTCTCTACAATGCCTCCCTGCCTCCATAGCAGCTACTCGCCTTGTCCTTGCCTCTCCGTCTGGAATAAAAACACCTATTATTTGCATTTCTAAATCACATGGATATGAAGTCTCCCGTTATCCTTTGCCAAACACACTTTACACTTTCAAGGTTTGTTCTGGACTACCGACAAAAAAGCGGGGGGTGATGGGACTCCATGCAGCAGAACACCAAACATTTATCATCATTCGCACAGCACGTTGTCTAACACTGATAATGAATCAGCCAATACAGACAGAAGTTCTGGTGTCTTGCAGCCTCTCTCATGGGTCATTCTCTAGCGTGCATGCCCATGGCTGCAGCAACTCTTATTATGAGTTCCCAAGAAGGGGCTATAAAGTCCATAGAGTGGGCAGCTTTGCTGGAGCAGACATAACCGTGTGCAGAGATACCCCAGAGGAAAGAAGCCCAAAGGAGCTTAGCTAAAGGCAGAGGAGGGAGAAATGAACACTGAGCCAACAGCTTGGAGACAAGATGGAACCAGCTATTAAATGCCAGTTAATGAAAGGTCATTCCTGTCTCCGGACCTAAATTTCACTGTTAAATTAAGTTCATTAAGAGGGGGCGAGGAAGTGAAGTTGGCCAGGGCTTACTGGTGGGCCTGGTGCATCATGGACGCTCAATATGTCCCTGTTGGGTACACAGGTGAATCCCTGTGTGCCAACCACTGCATTGGTTACACCACAGTTAATCATAAAACCACGGATTGTCATAACCAGAAAATACATTAAACCTAATCTAGTTCAACAACTTTATTCTATAAATGAGGAATCGGAGACATAGACGAGAAGTGACTTACAGTTAACTTCATGTATATTTGTCAGATTGAAGTTATTCTGGAAATGACATTTTAATTTCCTATTTTGGCATCTCTATTTTCATAAACAAAGCCCCTGTTCCAGGCTCTACACGTGCAGAGGAGCGAGCTCCCATACCCAATGTCAGGCGGTCACGGATTATGTCCAGGAGGAAGCACATTTGACCCCTCTTAGGAGGCCTTGGGGACTAGAAGTACAAAAGCCAAGCTATTCTGAATTTTTCCCATTCGAATGACAAGTGTAACTGTTACACTGGGGCAAACCCAGGTGTTCCTTACCTCACTAGGACCCTAGTGGAGGTTATGCCCAAAAGTGTGGCCTCTGCCCACAGACCAAGTTATAGAAAGTTATGTAAAAGTATATGTAAACCCAAGAAGCATAACTTCCCTGGTTATTTCGGGTATATTCAACCTCCACTATTCAGTGCAAATCATAAAAAATAACCAACCCAATCAAGGCAAGGGACTAAGCTTTCTGACTCTAAAATATTTCACTTCTTGAGTCAATGAAGAGTGAAATACGATAAAGGTATCTTGATGGGATTGCTATTCCCAATGTCACAGACATTCATCAACTGGGTTGACACAAGCAATTTAGTCTGGGGAGGCAGGTTCTGCCATCATTTCCATTGGCCACAAAGCCCTAACTCTACCCCAGCATGGCTAGTCCTCGGGGCAGCCATGCCTCCTACCCTATTGACAGCACCACACAGAAAATCCCAACCCACAAGCACTCCAAGGTGGAGAAAAGAGATCACTAGGTATTTCTTATTCTATTTGGCTCTACTGTTTATTTTCAATCTTTCTTTTCTAAGTCTACCAAAATAACCAGCATTTATGGTTTTGAAGCAGAGTGATGATTCTTAAGTAGAAATTTGATGATATGACTCCCATGCATAAAACCTCCATCTTCTCCCTACCTCCTAGGGCATAGTCTAAACTCCTAGTTTTGGTGTTAAAGTGACCAAACGTAACTTCACAGGGTTACTGCTTGCTTGATTAATTAATATTAAAAATATGCAAAGAAGGAAAAGAACAGAAGAAGAATATACATTCTCTCTCTCTGTCTCTCTCTCTCTCACACACACAGAGGAAAATTAAGAAGCAGTTTACTTTAGACAAAAATAAAATTATCGTAGTTAGAAACTAATTATCTTCCCTCTGCAAAAGAGAATGATTACATGCAGGAAGTCTATTTTAACAACTTGTGAGCATGTGTGCGTGCACACACACACACACACACACACACACACACACACTGACTACCACCATCATGTATTTTTGCTCTAGCCACCTTTGCTGTTTCCCAGAGCCCACCAAGGATATCTGTACCTCTGTGCCATGTGCCATTAGGTGGGTTTTTCTTCCATCTGACACATTTTCATTCCTATCCACATTTCTCCCCTTTATCCTCCACTCTTCTCTGCCTCATGAGTCTTTCTGCAAGGCCCAGCTCAAACACCCCCTCCCTCAAGAAGTCACCCGGGGCTCCTCCACAGGCAGGCAGGCTGCACTCCCATACCACACGGTCCCGTGTCCTGACCAGGCTCCCAGTCTAGTCTCTAAGCAAGCACCTTGATTTGACTTGACCAAATTTTAAAAAGCTACTATTATTCCAATGGGACATGGGTATACCCAGGCTAAAATCTTTGGAGCCCATTCTGGATGCCTTTCCTCTCCTGTCCTTATCACTCCCCCATCCCTCAGTCCTATTGATTCTATCTTCAGCCAGCCATATCAGCCACTTACACATCTCCTATATGTGCCATGCAAATTCAAGTCTGTATGACTTGGCAGATGATTTCTATCTGCAGAGCAAATGTCTGTCCCTTGTTCAAGCTTCAAATCAATTGCCTTCCATGAAGTCTTTCCTGACCCTGTGAACCCTACCACAAGTAGATTTAACCATGACATTGTTTGTTTTATGTGGTACCTTCTTCACACCCAACTGTGACATTCACTACAGCATAAAGCAGTTCTTTTTATGTCTTTCTTCCTCAATATTCTCACAGATAGGAACTGGGTCTTAATCATTTTTGTACTGGTACTTGGAAACAAGATTGACCCTCGGACACATGGGTTTGCTCAGTGAAATAATTTATTCATTTGGACCTTCAGAACTTTCTCCTTTTATTTCTGGAAATTATTGTCATTAACTAGAAGGGGGGAATGGCATGTTATTTTAAACAACAAGAATTCGACAAACTCTTGTTTCCAGAAATCTTAATTCAGACTTAAAAAAAAAACACAAAACAGAGTTTTTTTAGAAAAAGTTTCTAAAGACAACTGAGAAATGGATGGAGAGAG